CAGCAGCAACGAAATATGTCAAATGTTCATCATATCGCTCTTTTTCTCTTCCATCTATCAACTATCTGATGTCCTGTGCCCAAATTGCTGATTCCTCTACACATAAAAAAAAGTCGCTCCACACCTCAGTATCCTTCTTTTGAGATGGAGAGAGAAGAAAAGCGGAATGAGAGACAAAGAGGAAAGAATATGCATGATCTACTTAAATGTTTCTCCATTCAAATGTAATAGCCCATGAACAGACGATAAACGATCCTCAACTATCCCTCAGCTCCTCTCATTCTTTTCAGAAGCTACTGAAGAGAGAGGGGATGAAGTGACGGGTGGGTGTGAAGTCAGGACAAAAAGAGAGTAACAAGCTCAAATTCACTAAAGCTGTGATCTTGTATGCATATTTTTGACGGACCGACCGTATAACGGACAGAGCGAGCTAAGGAGCTGCTTGCTGCAGTTAAAAAATGGAGGCAAAAATAGTAAAGTTGCACAAATCTAGGGAGAATAGAAAATGACAGAGAAGAGAGTGAAAAAGACAGAGCGAGAGTGAGCTAAACATCAAGAGCTTTTGATTCCCCCCATAAAATGTTCCTTTTAAGAATGCCCATGAAATTAACTTGCTGAAAGAAAGCAATCTCAATCGATTCAACCCCCTCTATAACAAACTTTCAAACAGTCACAATACCTCCAGCTCTAAAGAGTCTCTGCGGGATATTAAAGAGATTCTCGCCTTTTCTCTCTCACCCCCCCTCTTTTTTTCCCTCTCTCTGTCTTACTCTTTCTCAGTTTCCCTTAGCTTACCATCTTTACACTGGCACACTGACAGAAAGAGGAGGAATCTTTAATCTTTACAATGACAATGGATGCTGGTTCACACTTTTTCATTTGTGTTGGGCCCTCTTACTACACTGCACCTTGCCAGCTTCAGGTGGATAATGTGGATCTTCTTCAGTTAGCACCGCTCTTCACAAGGTCCCAGAATATGATGTGCCAATGCATATGTAGATGTTGTCCACATATCTAAAGACTGTTTTGGTATGTCTCTTACACAGGGTCAATGTGTACTATGTGGAAACCAGTAATGGCAATGTAATGTATCTGCTGATGGATGCTTTATTTGTATCTGAGGATTAAACATAAAGAAGGTTGTAAATCACATTCCCAAAGCTTTATCATGCATTCACTTTTTTCAGAATTCTCGCAAATTTACAAATGTAATTTGCCATCATATACCAAAAAAAATGAAAAGCAGGTTTGGCTTTATTTACAGCTGAATTAGATCACAATGACTGGACTGACATTTGGTAGATTGAGAGGCCCTTCAGTTTTTCTCTATACTGCTTCTTAAATTGGTTTAACTAAGCAGAGATTGAGAAAACAAATCACTGTATGAGAAATGGACAATGTGGGTGTGCAAAATGGTCCATTATTCATTATAGCTTTGAGAACACAGTGAATTACTAACTACAGTTGTGAGAGCTAACAAGATAAGCATCTCAGCTGACATTTCTCTTTACTCAAATTCCTGCAAACTCTCACTTGCAAGCACAATGTGACTTGTCAGTGAGGAGTGAGGCATGCACTCCTACCGTCGAAATAACTTTTACTTTTCTGGACCCTCCTAGGACACAGCAACACACAAGGTATCCCGGTTAAAGTAGAGTGGAGCTGTCCTAGGACAGCGTGACCAGGGCAGGAGAATCCCTGATGGATTCCTGGAGGCCCTAAAAACCTTGGTGAGGAGAGCAGAGGAACTTCTAAAAAGCTAACTTCTGCACTTTCGGGGATCAGCGAACAAACCACAAGTAGGGGAGAAAAGGAGGAGGACAACTGAGAAAAGTAGGAGAATGTTCTGGAAAAGAAGACGAGTCTAGGTAGAGGATGAGTGTGATGGTCGACCTCGTGACGTGGCAGACGCAGTAGAAATAGCTGCCCCACTTGTAGACACACTTTCTGTTGCTCGACGATTGTCCTCGATGCACTGGGGTAGCTAACCTAAATAGGCCTGCCGCACGCTGCGGCATCTCCCACACACTCACAAACACACATGAACACGCACTGTGTGTGTGTGTGTGTGTGTGTGTCCCTCTCTCTCTCACTCTCTCTTTGCCTAACACACACAGATATGCACACATGGGAGGGGAGGAGGCTAAAATCAGGCCACACATGCTGTAGCTACCGCTGAGTTAAGTCACCTGTGCCGCTAGCCTAGCTTGCTAGCGGGCAGCCAGCTGCTCCTCTAATTAAGAGCCCATCTACTCAAGGGGGCCTGAGCATATGGAGGACTCTATAGCTAGGAACTGGTTTTATAATAGATAGCGATGCCATATGCTTGAGTACTGGCCAGAATTCCTAAAGTTGGATGTACTGCATTAGAAAGATAAGGTTATTGTGGTCCTGACCAGACACTGTGCAGTAAAGGAGTTACTACGATACCTCCAGCATACGCTCTGAGACAGCGATGAGCTTGTTCAGTGGATATTTGCGTATTGCCCTCCTCCTTTTGAATGGAGCAGTACCGTATATCGAGTATGTTGTATCGTGCTGTTTTCCACCTGCAGAGCAGATGAGACAGTTCGTGGCACTACTTGAATGTCAATGATTACCCGCCAATTAATCAAAGCACTTCACCTCAGAGAGGTGATATAATTGAGTGCATCTTCAAAGATTCAATCTCTCCTCATATACACTGTACTGTAAGGAGCAAAGGCAGACATCAAGGTGTCTGAAATGAGTTTTAATTAAATTATGAATTAAATCAGAAATGACCAGAACTGGCAAAAACATAAAACAACATAAAAATACCTGTCATCTAGGTAAAACAAGGTACTTCAACTAAATGCATTCTCTGTTAGTGGGATCCCCATACTGATCTTCAAAATATGCCATGTCAACAAATAGAGGCATGACAACAAATAGAAACATACAAATGAGCAGAATATTGAATGAGTTATAACATTCGAGGTATAAATGCAATCTATTTGACTGAAGTTACTTTGGTACCTTCAACAGTATTGACTTTGCTGTCCAAGGCCAGGACTAATGGCTACTTCACAAAACAAGCACACACACACTGGCATGGGCAGACACACTGAATGACAAACACATGGGCAGGCATACAAATTTGCACACTTAACACATACTGCACACACACACAAACCCACACCCTTGCTTGCTGTAGCCTCCAGTACTGACAAATATACAATTATTTGGGGACATTTCAGGCTACATTATGAGAAATGCATTTGTCAGTGATGGCAAATGGAGCACGGCGCAGACATATCTAAAGATGTATGTGTGTGTGTGTGTTAATTTGTGTGCATGTGTGAGAAAGTGAAAGAAATACAATTAACATCTGGCTCTTACCAGCAACCTTCAACCACATCTGTAAAGGCCTCTCCATTCAGCTAATTAACTGTCTTTACCGTCATCTGAGGGTGGCTGGTATGTGTTCCGTCTAACTTTAAGGAAAGACAAACCAAATTCACTGTGAATAACTGATATTGCAAAATAACCGAACTGAAGTCCACATATCAAACTAGTCTGTAGTTCAATATTCTACAAAGGTTGCAAGATCATCGAGCAAAAAATCATGACAGGTTAAGAAGGCAAGAATATTGTCAAGATGAACTGGACAAAAGAAGTTCCCTTAGCTCTGTTAAAAATCAAAAAGACAATAAAACCTCTTGTTTTCTGTTAGAAAACCCACTCTGGACCATTTCCTTGATTCCAATGGGGTCTGGCAAATGTAGCACCTGAAGCTTAGCAGGCTAATTTTAGTGGCAGTAGACCTGTGGCTGCAAAGAACACGATGTGTATTAACGGAATCATTACTACGCATTTAACTATTATAGTTACAGCGTGTGACTCTCCTCAGGATTCACTACTCTACTGTGAAACTGCGAGTACTTCATAGTGGGAAGAGCAGTTCTTTAAATGGAATAAAAGGTGCCAATGTGATTTGCCATGATTGTAACACATCTTCTGATCATATGTGCAGTTATCAGTGGGAGAATCTCAGAGGTTACAAAGCTAATGACATTATTTTGTCTAAATATCTGCATCCAAATACAAGAATATAAAGTAAGTGCTCAGTGAAGCCGGTAACTAAAGCACAGTACTGTAAGAGTTGGTGATCGGCACCAGACGGAGAGGTTTATTTCTGTTATGTGCATTTATTTTGACACTGTACGAGTAAAGTCAAACATTATCTGTGTGCATGTGTGTAAGTCACTGTATGTTAGTGTGAGTATCGTGCACCCACTCGCTCACACAATGAAACAGCTTTCCCCCGTTAACAATGTTTCTTGCCAACTTTATACGCGGCAGGATTAAAGGTATAAAGAAACTTTGAGAGGAGATGAAAAAAGTGTTTTAAAACAAGGAGACAAGAAACAAACAGACAGACTCCAAACTCTGTTCTTGTTTCCGTTACAGGCAGCCATTTTTAGACAGTCATCCATTAGGTCTGCTGCGCTCCCATACTGTCAGCCCCTAGTGAAGCCAAAGAGGCCATGTCAAGGGCCTAGGTAGGAAGCAGCATAGCACCCTCCCTCAGCACTGTGGGAATTGGAGGAAGGAGGGGAGGAGCAGGTAGTGGACTATAATATGAATGTCACTGCAGTACAACATCTTTAGAATGAGTAAGATGGATTATTGCTTAAGCTCAGTGTGAAAACGCTCTTCAAGAAATGGGAAAGGAAAGAGGGAAGAAAGGGTGGCAGCTGAGGCTCAGCATAAAATACATTGTCACAGATAGGATAACAAAGAAAGAGGACAGAGAAGGAAGAGGCTTGCAGTAAAGATTTTTGTTAGAATTGATTTTCATTTACTTATTTGTAATCTTATAGATTCAGGCGCTCTTACGTAAAGCCCATTCCCCACGCTTGAAACGCAGCGCAGAGTGCATTGTTTGCGGCTGTCAGAGCGAAAGAGACAGGGTGTGTGTGTGTGTGTGTGTGTGTGTGTGTGTGTGTGTGTGTGTGTGCAGTCTGTGTGTATCTCACCTCTGGCCCTATGTGCTCCGTCTGTGTTGCACGGTCAGTCATTTGGCAGTCTTTCATCTTCTGGGCAGCTTTGGCACTCTCCTGCGTACAAAACAAACACACACTCATCAGCCGTGTCCAAAATCTCACAAAAAAAAGATCTTTAAATATGAATAAATCAGAAAAAAAGGAAACGCTCTCCCAGCAGACTCATGCCTCCACTCACAACACTTCCGTGCATAACTAGCTATCAAGAGAAAAGAAACAGATCTGCACCTCTTAAGAACCTCAGAGCCAAATCATTTTCTCCCCTTCGGCTGCCTCTCCTGGAAATCCAAGAGGTCATAAAACTGGGTTGAATTGCAGGAGAACTTTTCTACAGCATTATTGGAGCAGGGACCTTCCTCAAAGTGCACCAGTAGAGAAGAAGTCATAAAAAGTGACTGCTAGTACTGACCAGCCTACTAGAAAGGTCCTTCTGGGACATAATTAATAGGATTCCTCTGGCAGATTTACAGACGGCTGTGTAGAGAGGAAAGTGTTTGCCCTGTCCTTCAACATACAGCCCTGTTAACATGACCAGGAACCTGCCGACTCCTGTGTTACCTCTATGTGATCATTTTGAAAGCCAGGTTGCCGGTCCTCTGAATGAGAAGGGCCCAACACTATTTCCACCCGGAGGATTTTATGATGACGTCACTAATCGTTCTGTCACGCTCGCACCTACGCTGCTCATGGGCTGGGGAACAGAACGGGTTGAAAGTTGCACTGGATATGAAATATTGAGAAATTCATTAACCTCGACTTAAATTAATTACCAGAATTAAGACAATGTGTAAGGATGGGTTAATGGTAAGGAGAATGAAATAAAAGTTAATTTACGGTATGGCTCTAAACCCAACTCGCCGTCCTGTTCAAATCCAGCAGAGGCTAGCTGACAAGATATGTTCAAAATCAATTTTCATTGGTCATGCCCATGCCCACATTAAAAGCAAAAGGAGCTTTCCGCAGCTAAATGTTGCAGTTGGAGCACAGCCCTTCAACAAAATGCAGCGGCAGAGAGAGGAGAAAAGTCATAAACTGTGACAGCTCGTGATGGCAAGCCAGCTAGCAGGTCCTTCTAGGAAATAATTAATAGGTTTTCACTGGCAGATTTACAGACGGAGGCAGAGCAAAAAGAGCGTTGGCTGTGAGCTGCCCTTTCCTTCAAAATGCTGCACTTTAACTTGGCTGTGTCAGGAAAGGTATCCCTTTCCGACTCACGCCGAGACACATATAGACCCTCACAAATGTTCACAACATGGACCCTCAAGTGCACAACGTCCTGAATTTGAAACATTGACAGAATGAACTTTGTTCCAAGGAAGGACATATGGTGTGAATTCAAAATAAGGTTCGGCTTTGGCCGCAGTAAGGACACTGGCTGGATCTGACATATACACAAACAGATTTATGCACACTTTTGCTCGTAAAAAACACACACACACACACACACACACACACACACACACAGGCACACAGCATGTCTGGAAATCAAATCCAGCCGGTAGCAGGAGCCAGAACATCCCTGTCAGAGAGAAGTGCCAAACAAATGAATATACACACACATCCAAGGCGGATCAGCATCCGTGTGTGTTTGTGCATGGCCTAAAGACTGATGGATGAGTGCACAGAGAGTAAGAGAGAGAGGAAACACCTCTACAATAGGTGTCGGGGTAATGAGAAAAAGAAGTTAACACCATGTAAATGTAAAAGGGTGATCAAACTGTAGACAGACTTGGAGACTTCAATAACAAGGCATGTGATATTCTATATGTTTGTTCCTTCAGAACCATGAACACTTCAAGTTTATTTTTGATTAAATCCCACATACTGCTGCTGTAAACAGTCCCTACAAAATGCACTTCTGTTTTATCAACGCTTGCTAAAAAAATACAGTGCTTTGCTGTTTTAGGAAACTTCTCAACCTTGTTAAAAATGGTGACCTGTTTTTTAAAAATGTACATCTTTAGTGGGAATGAATGCAGCAAATAGGCTGGGGAGCTCAGAAAGTATTGAAAGGCGGACTAATGAGCTGTTGGTTTCCACCAGACTTAATGAGAATAAGAAACATATGGAATATCACCAGCCTTATTCCCCTAAATTGGCTCAACTCCAAATGTTTGTGTTGCTCAGTTGTTTGACACCGTCATAGAGGAGTTACTTTAACTGTAGGTTTATTATTGAGGCATTGATGTAGTTTGCAGTTAGGTGAAATGTATTCTGCTCAATAATCTCTTGACAACGTCACTATAATCTTTATCTCAACTATGATATAACATCTACTGAAGCAGCCTCCAGACAAATTAATCAGCCTGAGCTACAAAGGACTGCCACAGTACAAAAAAAAAGATAACATTTCTTCTATAACTCCTAATCAGCTAAAGTAGTCCAATTCCATGTGAAATGGAATTATAAATAAATGTTAAATGCATTATAGGTTGCTGCATGTATTTCTTAAGAAAAGAAAACTACCTACAAGTAATTATTGAGTGCAATTAAAAGGGTGCTTTAAGTCTAGCCTGTCAAGGAGAGAAATGATGGTTACATGAACTGTTAAACAGTGTCAACAGTCTTAATACAGCTCCTTTCCGGAGTGGGAGTAGCTGGTAACTCCAGACACAGCTGTGTTCTGGGGAAACTGTACCCGTGCATGTAGCCGTCTGAGTGGCCATTTAAGTCAACTTTGGAGAAACTAGCAAGAGTAAGCTAGATCTTGAAAGTATCCTCCCTGGAGGCCTGAGTAGCGCATTGTTGTTGTGACGACCTCATGTCTCAATCGCGTGTAAAATGAAATAAAAAACACACAAGGCTATCGTTAGTTGTCACAGCTGTCAAGCTAGCACGTTAGCATTGGGAAGTTTTTGTCTGCCCGGCCTTGTGGAGGACTCCCACGCAATGAGTGCAGTGGCAGAGTGCACAAGGGTATGTGAGGAGGGAGGTAGAAAGGATGGTTGGCCTTCTAATTATTTCATAAAGGCAGAAGAAAATCATTTTAGGGGCTTATTACAGGCCTGCAACAGCCACAGATACCTTATTTCTGTCTTTCTTTTTGTCAGAGCATTTGATTTACTGTTTTTCTGTTCGGATGTAATTTGAATTTTGACAAATATCACAAACAAATAAGTTACCTACGCTAGCTTTACCTCCACTTTAAGCGCACACAGTGCTAACACAGCCCATATAGAAAGAGGAGAGAGGTGCTGCTGAGGGAGAAAAATGAGATACGGCTGCCAGAAAGTCATCAAACAAACAGATGCCAGATGAGACTCAAGTCAGTGGGTTGGACTGGCATCTCTCACTATAGCGCCATTACGCTGGCACATCATCCTGCTAAGGCCTGGCATAATGTCTGCATTACATTGCTTTGATGGAACAGGTGACAAATTATGGATGAGCAAATGACAAATGATGAAAAACGTTGCCGTATGGGGAATTTTCGCAGATCATCCAACATCGAGCTTCCAAAATCCCCATTTTCATATGCTTTGGTATTATCAAATATCCAATGCTGGAAATGAATCCACGCTTCTCATCCTTGTCTACAGGGGCAGATTTGTGAAAACATTATACTTCTATATCTCTTGGCCGGACTGAAGTCCCAATCATAATTCTGCTATTACATTAATTTAAGTTGGTGGGAACAAGCAGTTTACATGAACAAAGATGGAAAAGACGGGCTTCATGGTGCCACACCATGTGACATCAATGCTGTGACTTCAAGCCAACTATAAAAACCCTTCCCACATTCATTTCCTCTCTCCTTCTGTGACCAGTCTTTCCTGTCACGCCGCTCTCTGCTGTATGTCGTCTCACACAGCAGAACATCACAAGAAGAAGGAAAACTGACAAAGCTGTTTGGCAAATTGAAAAAGTAAAACTTTCCAGTTCTTTGAAATGTTTGAAAGGGAATGAAAAATGGTGCTTCAAAGGCAATTAGTCTTTAATTTATACCCGTAAAACAAATAATTCAAAAACATTCAAGCGACTTAAATTATTAATTCCGAAGTTTAGAAAAACAGGGACCCAGAGAAAGAAACTGAGATAGAGATAAAATTAGATGAGCAAACCTTGCATACATCAATGTCTGAGACTATGAGTTGCTTTTCTTATTAGTTACACGACTCTACCGTGTTATGAAGAAACATTTTGATTTATTGGATTCGTTAATATTTGTCATTACTGAACATCATGTGTACCTATCGCTGAACGACCGTCATCTGAACAATCTTCTGGCTGGCAGCTGCTATTGAATGAATACTATGTTTTTATGTGAGGAAGTCAAAATGGAGCTGTCGTTTATTTAGCTTTTGTTGAAATCTGGTTGAGTAAAAGCTTCATTTGTTATTACAGAACTATGAACTTCAAAACTACTGACTATAAAATAAAAGCTTGACTTGCAGCCTTAGTTGTACTCCAAAATGAACACACAATCATTTTAACTTTCAACTTCTCTCATACTGATTACTCTTTATACCGACTGTCACTAAAAGGCATTTTGAATTTCAAAACACGATACCTTGGCAAAAAGTAGAATTGGTGGTGAGACCTAAAGAAAAATGCTGATAATGTTTCGTACTGCATTCGCATTTAAACTCAAACCTTACCAGTTCCTTGTGGAGTCTGAGAATCAGTTCGTCTTTCTCTCTCAGCTGTTGCAGCAAGGCCTCCTCTCTGCCAGGGTCCTAAACACAAGCGACAAGACACCACATTACTTAGGACACTGCAGACAGCAATGATTTATCTCAGGGACCATATTCCCGCAAAAGCAATACATAGAGCCTAAGAGGATGACAATATACAAAAGATGTGCCTGTGTGTGCGCACGTGTGGATTTCTGACTGTCTCCATAAAAGTTTACGTGTGTTTTCAAGTGTTTTATGTGCATTTATCAGCGTGTTTGTTGCAGGTCTCGCTAGTGTGCGTGTGTGTACGTGTAATAAAGTTGTCATGCATGCAGCAGGCATTGTGATCTCCTCTTCTCTCTACGTGTCTGTGATAAACTTGGCGTGTCCTATGGCGGCACCCCAGAGCACATATAGCACTTTAATATGACCTTGTGTTGTCAGGGGACATTACTGTGGGGAAGACAGGAGAGTAATAATACTAATAAAAATAACTTTATTCTTATGGCACCTTTCACAACAACAGTTACAAAGTGCTTCACAGCAAGAGATGGTTATAAATAATTCTAAAAATGGCATTATGTCACATTAAAATGTGTTTGATGTTTATGATGTATCATGTTTATGACTATATGTGTGGCGCAATTGTTACTTGTCTCTTGTTACTTGAGTCTCATTTATCCGGCTTAAGTTAACTAACTTGAGTTACTGAAGGGGAAACAGCTACATTTAAAGTCTGCCAACCTGATTTCCTACAGCAGGGTTTTCTAAAGCTCAGTCAAACAGCCAAGACGGAGCTGCCAGAAGATCTCAGGCTACACAATGACTCACGGGGAGGTCCAAAATCGGGCTCCAGACCAAGCAGTTATGATTAAAATATTCTGAAACTGACAGGTAGCTAAGATGTGGACAGAGAGTGATGCAGTGAGAAGATCAGAGGGAATAAGAGGAAAGCAATAACAGAGCGAGAGAGAGAAGGAGCAGATGACAGACAGACGATCATTACCTCTTCAAGGACATAAAAGCAGGAGATGAAAAGAGGGGCAAGATAACGGGAGGAAAATGAGGCGGAGACGGGAGGAAAGGGGGGCAGTGATAGAGAGACGGAGAGGACAGAGAGGGCCTGAGGCTGAGCATGATGGTCTGAGACCGTGGGGAGCCATCTAGCTAAAGGACAGACATAGAGTCAGAGGGAGACCACAGGGAACCATATAGCTGCAACAACATCCTCTAAATGACCTCTCTGATGCAGACAAGCCTGCTCGCCTGATGCTCAAGTCTCATCAATAATCAGAAATGGACAAATGTAACTTGTGATCGTTATGATGCCCCCTCAATGGATGAATGGATAAATAACTGTGTGAGAAAATAACAAAGGAGCTTGACAGAAAATACTTTTTTAACACATTTTAATACTACATAGCAATCGCAACTTAGCCAGCAGCATGTCAAAATAAATTGGATTAAATTAATTTAATTAAAAAGAAATGGACCCCGAAAAGCAGAAGAAATGGAACGATAGATTAACCAATTAGAAATAATTAATTAATTTCAACGGTATATATACAGGAATTGTCTTTAACAAAAGAAAACAATGTAAAGATTTATACAAAGATATTCCCTCTCAATCATCACTTATGCATCCCTTAGAAGTCTGTGGCGGGGGCTCTATCTCTATCTTTTCCTCCTCTTCCTCACTTTTTGGGACGTTTCTGGGGGTCAGCAAAGGGCGTCTGGGCCGGTAAGCAGGGTGTGCCGCCTGTTCTCATTCCCACGATGAATACCGCCACTGTGTGCTTTGATGTGCTTGAGTGTTTATCCCTGCTCTTTGTCTCTCTCCTCTGCTGTGTGCTGCTATCGGTGTGTCAGTTTGCCTGAGCTGAGCCACACACACACACAAGACACACAGAGCAGACAGGCCGCAGCAGGATGAAGCGCGTGCTTCGGCCGCATTCATTCAAATTCCGGCAACGCGGCACCTTTGTGTTTGCTACAGGTCTGCAGGTTGCGTGGGCTCGTTAGAACTTTCTCTCTGTCATAATCTATTATTACAGGCATGTTTCAAATGTATACACAGCACTGGCTCTGTATATGGGAAACAAACAAAGTGGATCGGACCCAGCCACCGGTACCACTCTGTGACCCGTAGTGGTCACAGACGCGCTCCAAGGCCTCCAGTCCGTCAAAATGATGGACGGCCTTTAGATTTTTCATTCATTGTTACAAAGTCAATGATGTATATATACTGTATTACAGGTATTGTTAACAGGACTTCTGTGTTGCTGGTGACTGAAACTCCACACAAAAAAAAAAGACTGAACAGCCTCCCGCAGGCACAAACCACTGTCACAACAAACCCCCTGAAGTGTAAAAAAACAGAGGAGGTGATAAAAAATAAAGTGTCATTTGCACATAGGGATACAGTCTCATGCCTTCAAGAATGTACAATTAAAAACTGTGACCTTTGTCAGCTGTCTTTATCAATTTACTCTGCTTTCAGTAGACAAGGAGAGGGCCGAACTACCGACGCTTCACGATGGATGCACTGGAACTGTTAGGACCGCGTAAATGGAAGAATTAGGAGGGAACGAGTGTTCAGAGATCAACTCATCCACAAGCACTTCGGTCACATACGGGTAGATGGTACTTAGAGTAAACTGCGATGCTTTAACTCTCCTTCACAAACAGAGAGGCGTGTTGTGTCTGGTGAACAGCAGCAGTCATGTGGCGCTATAGGTTCTCTATCTGTCCCAAACACCTCGAGAGGCAGAACAGCTGACACCTCACACTGACACAGTTAGGCAACCTGTCAAACCAGTTATGTAAGAAGAGAGATGTCACCTGCTAAAACATAGCTGGAATTATCACTGAGACATATTAAATATAGCATAAATGTTATAAATAAAGCAGTGTCGTACTCTTTTTCTACTGTCTTACATGTTGGTGAGACAGGAACCCACAGACGCATCAATGATTAGCACAGAACCAGAAGCACAAAGACAGGCTTTAGCTGTGGCTTAGATCTAACAAAGAGTCACACTTCAGATATAATTCTTTAATGTTTTTACTGGGATTAATTGTCTATTTGTTCTGATTGAAAAGCACAGCATTTTAAGCTGCTCCGCTCAACAAAAGCCATTAAAACTGTCGTAAGGACGTTTTTTACAGTCTTATAAATCTCTTTCTGTAGTCGTTGCCTCTCCATACCTCTTATCAGCAGGTTTCATGGATTGTTACTTTAGAAACACAGCTTCTTTAGTGTTGAGATAGCCACGGGTAAGGCAGTTAACCTGAAATCTTTTGGTCTTCCTTTTTAAGCAACTTTCGCAAAGTAGCAGTAGATCAGTGTAACTCGGCTTTGTGTGACCGGCCCCGGACTGAACGGACTTTTTAAGATGTTGGTGTAGTGACAGACCGTCCGAGCGAAAGAGTGGCCATAGTAATTACGACAGGAGCAAAGGCAGACGTCAGGTGACACAGAATAAAAAGCAACAAAATACATGTAAGAAAGAAGGTCAGGGTGACTGCATGGGTCAAACACAGGACTTTCACTCAGGAGACTGCTGTTCGTGTCCTGTGAGAAAATCAAAGTTGATTTATTTCAATTTACTTACGGAAGCTAACTTACATAATGTACTTAACTAAGTTAACTTAACACAGACGTAACTTATTTAACTTATGTCACAAAACGCAAGTTATGTAGCCAAACATACTTATTACAAACACAACCAAACCAGGTATTTTTGTTTCAGTTTCTATTAACAATGTTAACCACAAAATGTAAATCTGTGACCGTTCCACAGCATGCACCTGTTGCTGTCACTCTCCAACAGTCATACGTGTCGTTTTGGGAAATTACCTATTTTGTCGTTCAGGTTGTGTTGCATAATTAACAACTTGAAATTTCACTGTTAATATGGAGGATCATAAATTGAACAGAAAATATGAAATTCAGGACAGTAAATCCCGAGGACTCTTTGTATTTTTTCCTGATCACCTCTCCCTCTCTTTCACACATTAATACAGTTTGTGGCAGTGTGTGTGAGAAACTTGCCACCCTCACTGTTAGTGTGAAAGTCATACAGCATCATATTTAGTTTGTATATGCATGTGAGGATGTGTGTTTATGGCTGCCTGTTTGTTTTGTGTGTAGTGTGTGTGTGCTCATGGAACGTGCATCTTCACAGGTTTTCTAGCACGCATGTATCCTTTGGCCTTGGTGCGGGGAATGATGTATAATTATACATTTGAAGTCATTATAATTATACATTATTCATTTCTAATTATGCAGCGTGTGACACAATGATAAATGTTTGACTAAAAAAAGAAGTTCCTCATGTCTGCTGACACAAAGGTGAATGTACACAAATGTCAATTTATTAAGGATTAAAACACACTGGTGCTCTGAATACACGCCTGACAACACTAGTGTGAGATTTTTTACTTCAGTCTTCTAAAATACAGCAACACTGTAACTGGGACAAAATCTGGTGAAAATCATGTCATATGCGTTGGGTCTAAATTAAACTGGGGCGCACTGTGACACTGCAGCCTCTCAGGTGGCTACCGCAGATTATTTTTACACCCACAGAGTCGCTTTCTGGAGTGCCAGGACAAATTCTCCTCTTCTCGCCCCTCCCTCAAACCCTCTTTTTTCTTCTCTCCCCCCCCCCCTCCCTCTTTCTCTACCACCCTCTCACCTCCATCTCTTGCACTCCCCGTATTCATTTTCTCCTATTTTACCGTGTTATCTAACTTAATGTCTTCGAACTGAATGCATTCCCTTTGTATGCACCTCACAGATAGCTTTTCCCCCAAAGCCGTTCTCCCTCATCCCCTCGCTCCTCAATCTATCTTATAGTCAAGTAGAACAATGTCCTATTCTCAGCATTGCAACCATTTCCTTATATTCTCCTCATGCAATATACATTTACCAAAACATCAAACTATTCCTTCACAGTGCAGTACTAAAAGCCTTGGTCTTTTCTGTTGCTTTGTCATAAGCTTGCCTATTGAAATGTACAAACTGTGTGCTATGTTTGTTTCGTTTTGTTTGAGATATAAATTCATCCTCGACTGGTAATGAAATGCTTGTTCAGGCTGACACACACACACACACACACACACACGTTGAACTGAAACACTGCATAACCATTCGAAGTTCGGAAGAAAATAGTCATGTGTTGACAAGCAGTGTCATGCGCACACACGCACACACACGCACACACACACACACACACGCACACACACACTCTCTACCCGTTTTTATACCCTGCCTAACCTCAATTCTTCCAGCTCTTGCTGTTTTCTCAATGCTTTTTATATAAATCTCCAGTCAACTCCCAGTTAGGTAAGAAGATGCTCAAGATATTTAGAATGAATGCTCCATTGTTAATCAGAAGAACAAAAAAAAAAAAAAAAAACACTGTTTATGACAAGTTTTTCTTGGATGCCAGCTGGTGCTTTTTCTTCTCTGGCGCATAACTTTCTTAATAATTAACAATGAAGTGAAGAATCTTCAAATTGTTCTTCACCCCAACCAAGTTTCAATATCTTTTAAACTGTTGAAACATCATGTCCGTACAAGTTCCGGCCGAAAGTTTCAGATGAAGCTAGCTGAGTGAACCTTGCTCTTAGAAGATCTTTATGACAGACACTATATTCTATGTTGTTCCGAACATCAACGATGCATCTTCATGCTCCTTTCAAACCAGTTTGTATGACTGCAATACGTTTATCACAAAGTCTGTCAACCTTCAACACCTACTGTAGATTTGTGATGGATCTGTACACAGCAACTCTAAGCCTTATCCACAGACAGAGCGATACAAACCTATAGTTCTTGCTATTGATTTCTGATTGTAAGTCTTTACATTTGTGCTTTGGACTGTTCAATCAGACATTTGTCCTATTTCTTCCCAACCTCTCCCGAATAAACTATTCCAGTTGTCCACCTTCCCTGTCTGTCTGTCTGTCTGACTGTCTGACTGTCTGACTGTCTGTCCATTCGTCCATTCCTTCATGAGGGAGTTTGAACCAGAGCTGCTGTCTTCATGCTGTGTCCCACCCTACATTTTTAATTTTTCCTTATCATCCAGCTGCCACTGATACTCCATGTAGGTCAATAAAGAGGGCATGCATTCACACAAACATCCACCCTCTCTCTCTCTCTCACACACACACACACACACACACACACAGGCAAACACAAATAAATGCATACAGACTACAAACAAAAAAATACTCTATGTAGACCTATCTAAAAATGCACACTGGTACACAGATATAAGTGCACACACACACACAAACACACTTAGCACAGACATGCATAATATTGTTGGCACTGTGTCAGGTACTGAGGCCTTAGTTTGTGGTTGTGTGTTGCTCCACTACATTATAAGGGGCTTTTACTGTACCTCTCCATGTATGTGAAGGACGGGGGGGATTTAAAAAAGCAACACGGAGTTGAAAAGTCTCGTCTCTCCTTTAACGGTTTAACGAGAACTCTGCTGCCACCCAACTAAATCCCAGAGAAAAGCTTGACAAAGTCCTCCCTTGGTAAACCTAAACCTTGCGCGTGCACACACACACACTTGAGCACCCATGCTCCCAGTCCCCGCATTAATAAATCTTATCTGGGTGCACAGCTCTGATGGACTAGGTTGACAGAGGGTGTCTGGGGCCTGTCAAGGCAAGCAAAGCACTTTACCCCTCTCTCGTTCAATTTATCCCCAACTCTCTTTTTGCTACTCTCCTCTTTATATTTCCCTCTCCTTCTCCCTTCCTGCCTTGCTCCTCTTTCTGCCTATTTGATCGTTATGAGTTAATTGTTCTGAAACCTGAAGGAAACACATGAAACACATGAAGTGTGGGTGTTGCTTACACTCAAACTAGTTAACAGATGTCAATAATTATTGGTCAAAAGTTTGCTAAAGCCACTCACTGAACACTCAGCAAACATCTCTCCGTTTCTCTTAGACACAAACATACAAATTCAGTATTATTCATACGCATAAAGCAGCATGAAATGGTCTGCTTTAGGTTACCTTAAATGGAAGGGATTTTTCACTGCTGGGGCTGATGGGGAGAGACTGGAGGCTGCTGGCAGGACTCGTCTCTGTACTCTGCAAAAGGCAAGAATATGAAAACAACATCAAGATGAGGTGTGTGATTTACATTGTAAGTGCTGCTTGTGGTGTGCACAGAATGATATTTACAAGTTCAGTCTCGGTTAATAATCGTCTGTAACAAAATCCAGGCATCTGCAAGTATTTTTGCTTTTAATTCTTTCTATTTTAATTTATTGTTAAACAATATTGGCAAAAACATTACACATATAAGTCTGGTTACCAATTAGATACAATAGACTAATTCTATCCAGATAGATGCTTATTATTATATCCTAAAAGTTAGTGTCATTTTCTACAGAATATCTGCAGGACATCATTACATCTAGTCTGTGTATCTAGGGTTGAAGCACCTTTGGTTCATAAAAATGTAGGACACTTGCCTGGATAAATACAACTTCATGTTGTAACTTTTCACCTGTTTTTTTGTCTTATTATGTCTGTGTTTTCTAACACCAGCTGTGATCAGACACATTTTGTCTCTCCTCCTTAACACAGGTGTCTAGTGAGCAGAGAGCAAGGGCAGCTAGAGGGGGCTCCAAAACACACACACACACACACACACACACACACACACACACACACACACACCGTTCACTGCATACATTCATGTGACAAAAGTGTGCACACACACACAAACACACACACACACACACACACACACACACACACACACACACACACACCCCTTAAAGAGAGCAGGCGCTGGCCTAAATGTCACCTGTGAGGGCTTATGATAGGACAGATGGTAAACCTGGAGAGGTTAAAGTCATGTCTCCAGGCAGCACTGCTGATGATGATGTAATGCTGCATGCAGTGTGAGATGACAAGATATATGACAAAGATGTGACAAGGAACACGGTAAGGTAAATTGAAGTACGAGTATGTTCCAAACAATTTGTTTTCTGATAAGGTATCTTTCTTTCTTCTGCTCACTTGCAGATTCATGTGCATGTTCCCCTCTGTTGTTTGAGAGAGATGACAATACTTATGATAACCGTAAAAAAAAGGTGCTTTTTAGGCAAAAATCTTGATTTAGTTTGTGCATATTTTTGTCCTAGTTTCTGGTTTTGAAGGTAACTCTGAGAAGCATCAGAGCCTAAATCTTTGCACAGCATAAACTTCATGGTTTATTGCTTTGGCTGACCTTTTAAAGAAGCATACCTCCCTATCAGAATTATAGGTGCGCTACAGCGTGAGGCCCTCAATGTGTCACCGGTGATCAATGCCTTTCCCCATGTGGAGAGACAGGCGCACACTCACTGACACCCAAACACTCTCTCTCTCTCCCTCTTTTCCTTCTAACACATACACATTCTCTTTAAGGTCACCCCTATCCCACAGGCCTTAACACACAACTGTCCCCACAATTAGATGTGGTTCAGTAAAAAGCCTTTCAGATTTCAAAATGGGGAAAACTGCCTGGGAGCTCTGGATTTAATGACTTGCACTACCCAGAAGCTAAATGTCTAAAGATGATGAATGGACCAAGAAAGGAAAACAGGTTCTGTAGTTTCATACAAGTCTTTAATCACATTCCCACATCAGTTAAATCAAGAAATGAAAACCTTCAAATAACTCAAGGTGCATTCATGCCCACCCTCTCTCATTGACATTCAGCTTTTTATCGGAAGGCAGCCCCATTAACAACATACTGTCATAAAATGTAGTCAGTTCTTTGGAAAACACAGGGTGAATGCTTTAAATTGGAAATACCTACTCTGCTCGGGTATTGCAACGTTTTTAACCCCGGGGCTCAGGAGTTCTCGTGTAATCTGCATCTCTTAAAAAGCTGGTGTAACGATAGTTGCAGAGATAAATGGCACTGCCTTAAATGACAATATAATGAACAACAGCACTTTCGACTACGCTTTATCATACTGACAGCGATCCTCGCAACAAAGACATGCTGTTGAAATGATTTGGTGGAGGCAGCAAGAATAGGCTGCTGCCACGGGGCAAGCAGCTGCCTCAGGGCTAACAGTCACTGGGACGGACAGAGGGGCTTGCTGGGACACAAGCTAACAGGGCCTGCCGGTGCATGCGTGGATATCGCCAAACCAGGCCCACAAAGACTGCGAGTGTATGCTGTAAAACATAGGGCCGTCACAGATTTGCTAGAATCCATGGCTGACATTGACAAATGGGGATCATTGTGTTAGGCAACATTAATGCACACGTGGACAGTGGCATTTTAGAATTGTTCCTCCCGTGCAGCCAAAAGGATAAACTGCTGAGAGAGAAATAAATCCAAGATGGACGGAGTTCTCGGCAGCTGGCTTAAATATGCTAATCTGACTAATATGATGCACAACAAACGCAGGAAATGATAGGGTTTGATATATTATCTGGCCTGTCGGTCATGTGTGTCTTGTGTAACGATATGCATTCGTCAATGCTTTGTGTAGGACACTCACAGTTATGTCATAGAGGTTCCCCAGTCCAACTTTAACCGGGGACATTGAGGCTGGTTTGCATCTAAACCGCTTAGTTTCATAACCTTTTTGACAGCAACTGAGAAACTGGCAAGTTATGTTTCTTTTTATCATCTTATTCACTTTGTCCAGGTCTTCTTGCAGACAACTGTTGAGCAGCATTACACTTATTTTTCCATAACGCTGGCTAACGTAACTGAACTTAGCATAGGCATCGAAGCATTACAAATATTCTCCTGTTTGCCGTCTCAGGTGGCAACAAAACTTTACAACAAAATTAATCAAAAAGTATAATGCTCATTGCAGCTTAAGGCGTAATAAATGATCACGTAAATATCCACTTTAGTCAAAGCAATTTGTAATTTCGTATTGTATTGTTGTGAGATAATGATACAGTAGTGACTGGTATAGAGCAGAACAGAGAGAGAACATCGAGGAGATGATGAGATAAATATTGGACATTTGGACTTGAGCGCTGGTTTCATAAGCGTTAGATTACTCTGCATGATTCATTATTGTAATGTTTGCCTCTCTGTGAGCATCTCCGTGCCTTTTCAGTTGTTTGGAGGAGGACTGGAACGGAGCTGCACCGTGTTATGCGTGACACACTGTATAAAGCCGAGCAGTGTTTCGGATGACATTAGAGAGAAGATAAATAACAGAAGATTGGGGCAAAGCAAACAAAATGCAAAGCATACAGACATGCAGAGTAAACCCTCCCCTTGCTGCAAAATGGATTACATCCGTTGATGGCGGGTAACAAAATTTGCAAGTTAACACACAACAACTCAAACACAACAGAGCAAGCAAAGAGGGCAAAGTATCCCCTCTTTCATATTCATGTTCTGCTGCTGTGTACCCTCTCTCTCTCTTGCACTCCTTTTAGTCTCTCCATCACCACTCTAATTTATGTCTCTCTCCACTAATTATTATATTATCATTTCATGTCTCTTTCACAGTTGTCCTGGGAGGAAAAAACAGAGAGATGAAGAGTGAAGCGAAAGGGAGAAAGTCACACATATGCCTCTGTGGACAGTAATTCACAGAGAGGTCCTTACAGCTAGCTTTGATCTTAGTTCAGACGTGCTAATAGTGGGGTATTAGGGAAGGTCTGGTCACCCTTTTATATGTCTTTTTGTGTATTTGTATTATGTGTGTCTGTATAATATTGCTGTGTTTGGTAAGGGTGAGTCACCCATGTAGATTATAAGGAAACAACAGCCAGACATTGCTAATGGATGTTCTGTCAGCTCAACTTCCAAAGCAGGAAGGGTATTACCAACACCCCCCTTTGGTGTGTAAATCTTTCATACACTTTCAAAATATATCAGTACGAATATGTCCACTTTCATTCCAAAACATAACATACACAACACATTAAGCACCGCCAAACATAAACTTCCAAACAACTAGTGCAACTGAAACTGTGCTCGCACAACTTTGAAAAACTTGTACGACTGTTTAGGCCTCAGACATTCTCCGAAAGAGTGTTGTTATCATTCTGTTCTGATGTGAACTCTAAATAAAACTGGATTTTAAAATCAGCGGTTGATTGTGTTCGTTGATTGTTTTATCGTTATGACTGAGGATCTGCCCCAAGTCAAGCTCTGCGCAAATTGCAATCACCCCAAAAATAAAACATGTGAATCAAGTTTAGGGCAGTTTTAATCTCAATAAATGATCAAATATACATCAGCTAGAATAGTATTGCGTTCTATTTACATCCTGGTGTAAAGTAGTGCCACAGTTAAAAAGATTGCACGACTGCACAGGGCCATCAATATGGGTCTCTGACTTTTACAGTTAAACCTGGTGCAGCTATCGCATCGTGTCAGTGCTTTACTAAGTGACCATTACAGCTAATCACGTCTATAATGGTTTGGATGTAATTTTACTGGTTTCCCTGCTATCGCACTGTGCTGGCCTCATAGCCTGAGGTAAAACCTTTAGTTTTAAAGCAGGCTAAAGCATTTAAAGAGCAGCTCTGAAACAGGAGGATTAATGTGTGGAGCTTGAGTGTGTGTGTGCGTATGTGTGCAGATAAAGAATATGATGGCAAACGCTCAAATACGCCTCCCAGTTTCATCCACCAAATGTAGAATCTGATTAAATTAGCAAAACAAAGTGATTACAGAGACCTTTTAAAGGCAGAAAATCATCCACTTTGAGATGCTTTCATGGAGCTGAAATAGAGCCTATTAAAACAGGGAGTGAAGAATTTGTCAGTGGAGCACTGCACTGTTTTGGTTCGAAAAGCCAATTGCTGCACATTATTTGCTAACCCCTTACCTTTATTGGTTTAAAACGATTTAATGCATGTATAACTTGATCAAAGAAGGGTCTGTAAGTGTGATACAAGAGGAATAACAATGACTTTTGGCTTCAGGTTGTGTTATTCTTTGTGCTTTGTGACAGATCTCTTAATCGGAGTACAAACCCACGTTAAGAAGATTCCGTAGGCTCGTGTCTGCGTGTGTGCGTGTGCATATCCCACCTCCTGCAGTGTCCGTCTCAGTCGTAAAAGCAGGGTTTTGACAGCAGTGCAGTCCTGCTGCATCAGTCGGAGCGGAAGGGTCTCCAGCCCCGGAGGTAAGGGCTCATCTTCCCTCCCAAAAGCCAGCCCCGAGCTCCAGTCAGCAGGCAGCAGGCTGGTCGGGCGGCTGGGCTCCCTTGGAGGAAAGGGAAAGTGAAGGGAGAGAAATAAAGATCATTTGAACTTGATCATTGACCCGTCGTCACTGCTCTCCACTGGCAACCAGTGGAATCTCATACATGCTTTCGGTCGCTCCTGATGGTGTGGATCTCTGCTGCTTCTGTGTATCCCAATAGTATCATGAGTGGCCAACACATGCTCCTAACGTTCCACAGAGCAATTATAAAAATCTGTCTGCATCATATTGCAGACAGTAAAAAGACAGTAGAAATGAGAAATGAGAGATATTTCTACATAGGCCGGATAATAGAAGGTGTTACAGAGGTCAAATGGAGAGCGAGACCTGCAACACCTCAGCAGATGCTCCACATTTTAATGAGCACTGATTTCTATAATAAGTCTGTTTTACTGTAAGATGATTTCAAATGGAATGTCTGGTGATAACAACTCCCACACAAACAACATAAAAGCACATACAAATGCCTGCATGGGGAAGACACACGTTCTCACTCATGCATTCAGAGATCAAAGAAGCCAAAGCACAAATGTCCATCTGCGTCCAATCCTGCGTCTCACTGCCATTATCAACTCACAAAGATACTTCATTGTCAAGAGCTCGGATTCATTATGGCCCATCACAACTGTGCGATCTTGTCTGTGCGTCCTCATATTCTTTTCAGGATCCTTAATGTGGTGTTTTGTATAATTTTGTGTCCACAATGACGCTTCTGCAGAAACAACCCTGTGTATGTGTTTGTGCACGTATGTGTGTGACTGCGTGTGTGTGTGTGTGTGTAGGACATCTCTCAGTTGGAGAGCTGCATATCAAACACCTTTCTAATTAACTAATTATTGAGGTTAATTGCAGCAGACCTCCTGGCCGTTTGACAGATAGAGAAGGTAAAATCTCTCCAAAAAAGGACAAGTTCATGAGTTACTGTAGAACGCCTGATTAGTAACAAGCCTCCAAACCGATGGAGCTCTCTATTCCTCTCCACACACTTTAGTGGTGGTGTGGGTTTGAACTCAGACACACATGAACGCCTGCAACAGGGGGAGATCAAACACGGCTCTGTTTTAATTAACTGTCCCATTTGAGAACACAGTCCATTAAGCAGTAAACAGGCCTTCTGGAGCAGTATGTCTTTGGTCTCTGGTGCATGGCCTCTGTTCTTCTCACCTTCAACACCTGTTTAGTCCAGCAGAGGACAGGGAGGAACTTTCACCAGGAGTCAGAGTTGCTCAATGTCACGGCATTTCCTCATCTTTCTTTGGCCTCCAGCCAACACTAAAACTCAATTGATGCGCCACAACTAGAAACACTGACCGTATCTATAAAAGCTCTGTCTTCATAGTCATTCATCGCTCGGGGCCCACTTTACATGTTCTGTCAGTTTTAGAGTTGAAATTGAACCAGAAGCATATTTTTTTTCAACTGCTTACAATTTAAGTACTTTATATTGCACCAGACATGACAAGAGACTCAAAGTAAAGATCAAGCTCTCGTTCTGTTCTGTTGTTTCAAAATAATTATGTGAGTAATGTTTAAATGCGGTCTGTTTGATCTTTGCCACTCAAATATACAAAATGCAGCTGCTTACTTTATGATCGTTTTTGAGTCATGATTGGAATTGCAAGTCTGTATGGCAGCTGTTGGTGTATCACTTTGATACTTACTACAATATTTGATAATGATGGGGTAGTAAAAGATACATTCTGAAAAGGCATTTTAATTTTCTGCATTACCATTTGAGCATTAACATTTACCCTTGGTTAATAGTTCATGGATACATTTAGCACGCTTTTAACGCAGCAATAGTATAAACAAGTCTAAGCTGTTGAATTATGCTTAACCTTTCAGAGTCTGGTACGGCTATGCTCATGGGTACAAGTACTAAAGAAAGGAAACAAGTTACTTAACATGAAAAGATGTGTGGTTAGCAAAGGATTCAAATGTAGAGAATCTAATGAAGACAAGAAATAATGAGCAAATAATCTATGGTATTTGACTTTAAAAGGATAGTTTTGTGTGGGTGTACGCTATATCTAGAGTATTGTCTCCACTTTATCTTCACTTTATTCTGCCCCTTTCCGACGGGGGAACTGAACTGAGTGTGAAACATATCTACGCTCTCTTCAAAGCCACAGGACTCCGTTGACAAAAACAGTACAGTTCATTTCTACTTTCAGTTCAATTCCAGGTCGGAAAATATTCTATATATAGTGTACACCTGAACTGATTTACATTTTTTTAGATGTGTGTTTCTTTCAGACGTCTTAAATGTGTTTTTCTGCTGCCCACATCCGCAGCCGTACATGTGCTGGTGATCACGTCTGCTTCTCCAAACCGGGGGGGTCGTGCCGACCGCAATCTACAGAAGGTAATACACTGACTAATGGATAAGAACCTCACACAACCCCATTCATAACACCCAGACTATCCCTTTAGCTCCACATTAAGTTCTGGAAATAGTGAAAAGTTAAATTTTAAAAGCTGTCTGCGTCCGGTATCCATTGACAACAGTTAAAAAGCAAATTGCAGTCAGGCTTTGCATCACTAACAAGGGGGAGATGACCCTTATTTGGCCCAAAGAGATTTTCCAAATGTCACAACTGATGTACCAAAAAGCCTGTTGAATGTTACACTGCAAGGCCGTTGCGCTCTGAGAGAGTAAAACTATGAACAACGAATAGACTGTAGTACAAACAGGCCTATTTGTGGAATTAACTAAATTACATAGAATGCTATAAATGCAATGGACAGTTTCATCATTTCAGGAAAGCTGCCATCAAGAAACTGAAAAGAAAAACACAAAAATGAACAAACAAATGAATCAAATGTGAGAATAAACTTCAGTCCTACATTTCTCTCCAAAGTTGTGATATCTTAACAGAAGTGCAGAAGGAAAGGGATGCTGCGTTCTTCACCTCCTTTATGGCATTTTCAAAAGGTGAGCTGAGAAATAACAATCTGCCGTCTGAAACCCACACAGACAACCAGCGGGTTCAGTTCACCGTCTGCATATCAAGGAAAGGAGGACAGTCCCGTCAGTAAAGAGAGGCAGGCACAGGCGCAGCGACGAGGAGCTCTGTATCATCAAGAGGCCGTGTTCACTGTAGACTGATAGCTATTCAGAGGGGAGGCGAGAGGCCATTAGCTGCCTTTAGTCCCATTCTCCCAGAAAAATCACCAAGTCAACGGTGGCGTGGAGCATTAAGTCAGACGGCAAACTCTCCAGGAGAAAATGTTCATTGAGCAAAACAAGATCATACCATTAAAATATCGATGAACGTGTGCCACTCCCAAGACTTGTCAGTGACATCTGCCCTAATACTGACTTCTTCACTGCCCCCCCCCTTCACACTCTCTCTGTCTACCTCTCCTTCTGACTGTCTTTCGCTCCCCTTTCTCTTACTTTCCTTTGTTCACCTGCCCTTCCCTTTCCCCCCCCCCCCCCCCATCACTCTGACAACCACTACACTAAACTGATGCAGTATCAAAGCCTAACGTGTCCCCTCTGGGGATTTTGCTTAGCACCTCAGACAAATGTCGATGAAGCCTGCTGTCTTTTGAAGACAGGTGAGCTCTGTCTGTCAGGAAGCCC